TCGGGATGGCTGCGCCCGGTAGTCCGAGCCTCGGCACGGATCGGCCTACCGGTCGGCCGAGGCTCGGACTCGATAGCTGGGCCAGGTACTGGTGGTTTAAGCTTCCCGCCTCAACAAAATCCCGCTCTGAAACTCGAGGGCGGCCGTAGGGTGCCCAGGGGCCTCGGCCCACATGCAAATGTTGCGTTTAGTAGCGACATCTTTGCGCCTCCAAAGAGACGTGGATTGTAAAAAAATCCAGCGGTTGTTAGCCCAGCGCGCGGAAGTGGCAGCTTTCCCGCCCAAACAGGAGGTGTTCATTGGCAAAAAACATGTCGGCGCAGCACACGGCGAGGCGCGGGACGTTTGGTTTACTATGGTCAAAAACGTTTCATAGCTAACTAAACGCCCTAATTCCTCATCGGTCGTCTGTTGGCGGGCAGAATAGGCCTTCGCATGAAGCACTGACTTCCGGTAACACGTGAAGAGGCAGGGATATTTACGCAACTCAATAGATGTAGCAATTCGACGACCCGTCATGCTGGTTGATGGCCCTCCTGTCGTGCCGATCGGACGGCGTCAAAAGCCTCCCAGTACTGACAGCAGAATTTTCCCGCCCGCCGTGCTGTCGCCCAGTCTCATTTTATGCTACTAAACCTTGCATGTGGGCCGAGGCCCCAGGCAACTTCGGCCAATTTTCAAGTCACCTCCCAGAGGTGACTTCAGTTTTCTTGGAAACGGCGCCAACATACGCCGCCAGGCAGCAGTTCAGCCCCCCGTCCGATCCTTTTTTCTTTTTTTTTTGCCAATCGCGGTTGTCCTGGCCCAGCGATGGACCTGGGTTGTGAAAATTCCCTGACGAACAGGGACGCACATTTTCCTGCTCCTTTTGGGAGCGGGAACTGCAGGGTGTAGTGGAACGACGACGACCTCTAGTATTTTTTAATTACGTTTTGGCTCAAAGGCGCCCGTAAGGCTGCCCTTAAGATTTTTTTCAAGTCGAGGGTAGTGGAACGAGGCCCAAGTCACCTCCCAATGGTGACTTCGAATTCCCTGAATTCCCTTGAAAACGGCGCCGTTAGGTTGCTTTCGGTCCCCCTGTCGTTTTTTCTTTTTCTTTTTCATTCCAATTTGCATTGTCTTGACCCAACCACGGCGCAGCACATGTTCCTGCCCCTTTTGCGAGCGGGAACTGTAGAGTGTAGTGGAACAAAGCTGACTTCTAGAATTTTTTAATTACGTTTAGGCTCAAGGGCGCGTGTAGGGCTGGGGTAGTGGAACGAGGCCCAATGTCATTTAACCAAGATTACTGTCTTTCCATTCTTTGGCCAACTCGTAATTCCTCATCCAGCTAATCCGTACAGCACCTCCCTTCCTAAACCATCGCCTACTACTATCTCTCTATCCCATCTGGTGGAACTTACGATGACGTTCCTTATTCCTAGACACTCACCTACTGGACCACTGCGTTCCTAGGGAACCGAGTGCCCTGGTTATAACCTTGTCACTCTCTATCCTCCCCCTTCCTGACCGAGATGCCCTGGTCCCCTCTACCGATTCATCCTCCTCCACTACCCCTACATTCTTCCCTTCCTAGTCTACACCCACACACAACCACTTGGAGACTACCAATCCTCAAGAAGAGTGAACACCCGCTAATTCATTGCCCTTGGCCCAGGATCTCAGAAACCACCAAAGATGTCTCCTTGGGCCTCTACCCCTCTTGACTTTCCTGCGTTATTTGCCCCAAATAGCTATCCTTAGTCCCTGCCTTTTTTTTTTTTTTTTTTTAAGTCCATGGTGTTGCAGAGGCCAGTCACTATGTACACAGTGATCACCTGGAGCAGGAGGTTGTGGGTGTCCTGGAATATGAGACCACCTCCCATCCCATCCTCATGTCAATACCCATAGCGCAACCCCTATCCCACTATCCTTAGTCCCTGCTTGATTCTTGCTCTAATCTCCAGATCCGAGCGCGGTCGTCCTTCGAATCTGGACCGGTTTCAGTCCGCCCAAATGACCGAACAGATAACTGCCCTGGCCACATGGACCACATACAGCCATCCCTTCTTCCCTGACTGCTCCTCTCTTAGAAAGCCCAGTAGAGCCCATTATTCATCCCACTCGATGCCTTCCCCTCCCATTCTTCTCCAATGGTCTTCCCACCATTTCCACACTCTCTTTGACGCCGGACGGTCCCACCACAGGTGTCTGGTAGATTCGAACGGCCAGGAGCAACATGAACATTTCAGGGCCACCTCCATCCCTCTGTTGCAGAGCCACACCGCTGATGGAGTAACCAGCATGGAGAGCATCCATAACAGACTAGCCTGTTTGAGATCGGGTAAAGTGAAAAGGACATTCCATAGTTTTAGGAAGTCCCCCTCTCTCTCTCATAGGTCTTCCATCAGGACCACTCCATCTGCAAATTGCTACAATCACTGAACTCCTCTCTCTCCTGTCTGCCAGTCCCTTCTTCCCTGACTGCTCCTCTCTCAGAAAGCCCAATAGAGCCCGTTGTTCATCCCACTCGATGCCTTCCCCTCCCATTCTTCTCCAATGGTCTTCCCACCATTTTCACACTCTCTTTGACGTCGGACAGTCCCACCACAGGTGTTTGGTAGATTCGAACGACCAGGAGCAGCGTGAACATTTCAGGGCCACCTCCATCCCTCTGCTACAGAGCCACACCGCTGATGGAGTAACCAGCAGGGAAAGCATCCATAACAGACTAGCCTGTTTGAGATCGGGAAAAGTGAGAAGGACGTTCTATAGTTTCAAGAAGTCCCCCTCTCTCTCTCTCGTAGGTCTTCCATCAGGAGTGCACTCCATCTGGAAACTGCAACAATCACTAAACTCCTCTCTCTCCTGTCTGTCAGTCTGTAGGACTCTCTCACTGTGTAATTAGAGAGGTCCAGCTTTGGGGGTTGTTTTTTTAAAACCGCTCCCCCTCTCCATCTTCATGCCCTTGTATCAATTAGCGTCTCCCTCAGGGGAACCTCCCTACCCAGGTAGTGGACACCACTCTCCCCCTTCGATTCAAATTTTGAATAACCCTTGCCTATGGCAGATTGGCCCATTGTCTGATTACTTCCTCTCCAGCTGGAACCAACGCCGAAGTCTGTTCCACTACCAACCATCTACAGACCTTCCTGGATCCACAGTGTGTCAAACCCTGAAGTTCCCTCTCTCTTCCTCAAGTGAAGGGGCATACCATGTTCCCACCGGGTCGACCCCATCAGGGCCCAGTAGGTGCTTCCAGTCCGCTTCCTGCAGGAGCTGCTGCCAACGCTCCTCTAACTGTCAGAGGCCCTAAAGGTGTTGGTGTACCACGACGAACGGCCTCCATGTACCTAGTGGGTTGGACCATACGTCTGCGACCCTTGAGACTCCCCTGCATATCCACGCTTTACCGAATGATCCTGAGGATGAATCAACACAGAAGACGTTTCCATCCTCG